GAATGAAAGGGTGGCTGGTTGTGTTCATGTATGTGCCTCGTTAACCCCTATGTACTTTCCATACACATTATATTCTGGATATACATAAACGAACAGTTGTCTGGAAGGGCATAATGTCAAGACATGAACCCATATACAAAAACACAAATAGCCTGCCCTGCGGCTCTGCTCATGCCCGTGTGTGTGTGCACACGTGTGAACACCTGCCTACAGCTGTACCTTTGTGTGTGGATCTGTAAGTGTCTTTATGTGCAAGTATACACACGTGTGCGTGTCCATGTGTATGTACGTATCATATTCAGTAACAAAGTTCTTGCTTTCAACAGTTTTACAATAGAAGAAACTTAAAAATGTCCCAGAAAACTCTCCTGACTTTTATCTGCCCGATGAGTTGGCAGATTTTGCATGGAGTCATCGTGAGAGTGGAGAACGACCCATAATGTTTTGTAATGCTTTTGGCAGGCAGGGGTTAGAATAATTCCAACATTTCACAGTTTTTAAATGTAGGTTTTTGAGATCTGGGGCTGTCTTTTCCCCGTGGCACGCTACTCCGGTTGCACTGAAACATTTGAAAGAGTAAAGGAGTTTGATTCAGCATTTCTTCACCCAACCCCAATGGGCACTCGGGGCACCGGCGGATACAGCAGGTCCAGGAGCTGCCTCCGGTGGCAGCCCCAGGGCAGGGGGAGGGGCCGTCGCTCACCTTCAGCTCCAAAAAAACACATCATGAAGAAGAAAATTTAATTTCGGTGTGATTTTAGAGGCCGGTATGTTCAATCTCATCACTCATTGAGGGCCTCAGTAGGAAACAGCGCGTTTGTGTCCGCAGCTGAGGCAGAACTGGTGCAAGAGCTGCCTCTGTCGTGTCAAGCGCAAAAGCATTTACCCGTGAAAAAGAGACACTGCAAAGACACACACTGCAGGTTTATATACAAAACCACGTTAAATTTATTGAGTCTTTCAGCAGAGCAGACTTAGGATCCCGCCACAGCAGTGCCTGCAGGCACCCAGCGACGGTGGCACGTCCTTCGACGCACACACCTGCGTGAGGCAGCAATTCGGGAATAAATAAAGAACAAATCACGGCCGGGATTTTATTTCCTCTCAAAACTTTTGAGTTGTGGCTGGAGTGGCTGCTGGCAGAGCTGAAAACCAGAGCTGAGCCTGAGCAAACATTCTCCAGAAAACCCCTCCTGGACCTCGTGTCTGCATTTCTCCTGCTGAGAGACAACCCTCACGCCCCCTGGGAGGGCACGAGGAGGTGGGCACACGCGACTACCCCGACCTAGAAGCGGCAAACAGACGTGAGGGGGAGAGGGAAAGCAAAGCTGATACTCCCCAGCTACGCCCCACCCCACCCACATCACCGATTTCGACGCATTCACAGGCTTCGACACCACTTGCAAAGAAACTCTTGGCACGTCCCCCCTCGGCCCCAGCAGGGAGAGCGGAAGGGGACGGGTCTCCTCACAAATTATCGTAGTCGTCGTCGTCTTCGTGCTTCCTCTTCAAGGGGTTCGATTCGTTCGACGCGTTCTGCGACGACACCATGTTTGTAGTAATGAGGATGTTCTTCGGTCCGATCAACGAAGGGTTAATCAGAACGTTTTGAACTGTTGGAGTAGTCGGTGTGGCTGAGGGAAAAAAAAAGAAAATTGACTGAAAAGCTTGGAAAAAACCTACAGGGGAAAGAAAACCTTCCAGGACAATAAAGCAGCGTCCACGGCCCAGGGAGGTGCCTCCTGCCTCGCGTAAGGAGACGCGAAAGATGAGCGATACTCAAAAAAAATGGAAGAGGCGAAAGAACTTCCCACATGGCCACTGCAAAGTCATTCCCGTTCTGCTAAAAAAAAAAGACGACCCGTGGGCGCTGCTGAGGTTTCACCTGACTTGACGGCTGCCTGGGAGGACGGGATCTGCACGGTGAACCTCTGCCCCGCCAGCGACACCGGCGTGCCCACCTTGGTCGAGACGGCCACCGTTTGTGCTGAAGGCGTGCCTGGAATTCAAAGAAAACCAAAAAATTAAAAAAAACCAGCAGTCAAAAGAGAAATAAATAAAAAAATTAATAGCTTTTTGCTTGTAAATTTGGTTTCAAATGTTATTTTCAAAGCAGCGGGAGCACGTGGGAACACACCAATGCTGGGTACAGGGGAGTGGGGTTTTCAGGCAGAACTAAACATTTACTCAAACCTGCACAATTCTAAGCTACAAACACACACCCAAGTGCACAATTTCAGTGAACCTTTTAAAAACAGATTTTATTCAGCGCTATCTGCAGTTCAGTGCAGGAAACAACTCTCAAACCTCTCTAAGTTTCTCGAATAGTCTCTTCACATACAGAAGTGATCACAAATCCAGCAATAAAACCACAGAATGTCAGTATGAAAGATAACAATCTTTGTGAAATTAATTTAATCTTCCTGATTCTCTCAAATGCCACTGAGCTCACCCTGGTGGTTGAAGCCTGACTTAAATTACTCCTCGTTATTTCTCCCCCTCGTAAAATCAACCCGGGAAGGCCCAAGTGAGCCGCTCCCTACCCAGAGTGGGAGTGCTGGGCCGGCTGCTCACGGCGCCGACGCTCAGCCGAGGCACCGTTATCCTCCCTGCGGACGAGGAGACCTGTCGAGAGAGGACACCCAGCTGCAAATTAACAACCCTCAAACACCAAAACCCACCCCAACCCGGAAAACCGCAAAACCACAGCGAGTCTGTTTCCTGGCAACACGGCGCGACTCACACACCAGGGCAGGAGGTCTCAAACTCTTCGCCGTGTGAAGGTCACCGGCACGTTTTAATCGACAATTAATACTCCACCCAGCACCAAGGGCACGACCCCTGGCTACACCCGCAACCTCAAGCTGAACTTTTCAGATTCTTTCTTTAAAACAGGGGAAGTAAATATGAAATTCAACACACTGACATCCAGTGCTTCCCAGCAAGCAACGTGATTTTTTTTCTCCTCCCTTTAAAGCAAAAACAACTCAGGCCTAATTATGAAACACCCTGTAGTATCTATCCTAAACCTTCATTTTGCCTTTTACAATCCAGTACTCAATTTGACGGTTTGGCTTTAATGCTAAGAAAAACTTCTGGGTGCGTTTTAGAACACAGGCTTTGCTCTTGAGACTAAGTAGTAACAAGAACACCTGCAAACCGCTACAGACCACAGGCTGCAAACGCTCCTTTGGCAGGCACGCGCCAGCGTTTGCCCCCACGTGTCCTCCGGGGGTGCGAAAGCCCCGAATTCCAGGAGCGCTCCCGAGCAGCAGCGGGGGCGTCTGGCAAACCCTCACCTTCTTCTGCAAGGACTTCAGCCGGTAGTTGGGGGCTGTCAGGCAGTATCTGTCCGGGGGGAGCCTGGGTCCAGAGTACGGCTTGATCAAGGGCAGCGGCGTCTGGTTCTTCTGCCTGGCGATATCTAACAGGAACTGGAGAGAGCCCCGTTAGGTGCCCACCCGCGGCCCCCGACCGCGGCCCCCTGCTCAGCGGCGGGTTAGACTCACGTCTCTCGGCGGGGGCGAGGTGAAGGACTGGTCGGTGCGGCACTGGATCGCCAGCCTCACGTCATCCGCGTCCACGCTCGATTTCTTGGCGTGGCTCGAGTA